ACATTATTTTCCTATCTTTTTAATCTATTTACACTCCCGGCTAACAGGCCATTTAGCTTCCAGGCCACCGGTATTTTTCCCGGTATCCCGGTTGGCCCCTGCACCCCCGATTCTCTTAATTTAATATTCAATAACATGCAATTTGCTTTATAACCAAACACTCACATTTCACTTTAAAAACTTGCAGAGAGTTGATAAATTTACTTCATGCAATATCTTCATTTGAAAATAACAGAAAAAGCAGGCTTTGCAAAAATGTTTAGGTATTTTTATAACTATAAAAAAGTATAATAAAACTTATTAGAAATGCTAATCGTAACGTTAAATCATTTTAACATGTAATTTGTATAGGTATATTACTTTTTATAGGTTAACTCGGTGATAGTGTTTATTCCCTAATACTACTATACCGTTATATTATTTAGAAAACATGTCGTTAAATCTATTTCAAAAGTTGGTTAGTAAACAAAACATGTAAAATGTATTTCTCTCGGCTCCAAACAAAAAATAAATAAAAACAAAACAATAGAAATCGGAAGCACGTAAAAGAATTGCCATCCGGTTAAATGTGACTTGGTAGAGTCTGGTGGAAATATTATGTGCGGCGGGCAGCAGCTGCATTATAACATAAACATCGTTACAATCGGCCTTTTAGTGGCCCTAAAAACGCGACGGCGAGTGTGTAGAATATAATAATTTAGTGTATCGAAATTGTACGTGTTAAACGGGGTGAAGTTTTCAACGACTACGTGATCAAACCGAAGCACTCCATCGAAATACCCTTATGTATTACAGTGGCCATACAATATTGAGGAAGATATTTAATATTAAGAACGTTTTTTTTTTTTTATTGAGTTAAACTCGTGAAGACTGAATTATTGGTGTCTGATATTATTTCATTTATTTCATTTAGTTCATAGGTTGAAAGTCGCCTACATGATAGTTTCCATGATTCACCCTGCATTGTATTTAACACTGCAAATTATAGTCTTATATGGTGTACAACAATTGATAGGTTCAAGAAGATATTGAAAATATCTTAACTTATAGAAAATCCAATTTTTACCCAAATTTGCGTGCTTTGAGGAGTTTCGAAGGAGGGGATATTTTACCGAATATTTTCAGCCAATCATCTCCAGACTGCCGAAACCAATAATTAGATTCACAACAATAATGTGATGTATTTATTGACGATAAACCAACTTGGAAAATCCATATGAACGAAAAACTCACACAGGTATATGTACCAGGATGGAAATTCTCTACACTTGTGTGAATGTCAAGTCTTCTGTACTCTTGAACTATCAGATCATCACTGCAATCACTGCAAAATGCGATCGCTTCATTAACTAAAATAAATAAGGTTCAAATTGTTCAATATAAATTTTCATGGATATGCCTAAAGAACCGCGGCTTATGAAAGTTTGCCAAATCTACAACGTTATGAAAAAAACCTCATGAATATCTGGACCAATATTCAATAATTTATGTACATGTCAAACTCAAATATTCGGGTGAAACTCGGAATTACAATCTGGGAAGAAAAACATCAAATAGATAACTGCGTCCTCGGCTACCGGAGGGCATTGTCTACTAATAAATAAGATCTGTCATCAAAAGATAAAAGTCAATCCTATTCACACAATATCATCATTATTCACTAATATATTACTATAACGTTATTATTAAAATTAAAAATAAATTGTTCACTAATATAACTGTTTAAAATTGCATTGATTGCACCTAGTAAGCTGAAAATGTTGATAATTCAAACAAATAAATTAAATCAAAAATAGCACAATAACAAATGATATTATCAACAATATACAAATTATATTGTACCAGTAACATGGTTTTACTTGTGCATGACTCGAATCACACATTGTTTATTAAAAATAAACCTTCAACTGAAATCGTAAGTAACGCTTGTAAAACTTACGTAATACATCTGGCCACTTGAGTCATCTAAGATTCAATAATATTCTGCGAGTGTGTAGCAAAACCATATGTTATTATTTTATTATTCGGCAAGAAAGGGCGGATGGTAGACAAATAATAATATAAGAAAAGTCGGAATAATAATATTTGCATTATTTTTAGTTTTTGTCCATGTAACCGTTACGAGGGACATTTACTGAAAGTAAAACAGTGGTTGGAGTAATATCAGTAACAGTACCCAATAGTTGAAATAATAGTAATTTCAGCAGATTATATTGTACTGCATTATTGATAAAGTATAATATAACAGTATACAGAAGCATCGGCAGTCGGTTTACCATATCGTATCCATCCAGACGACTATTTTCAATCGACCCGAACGTAGCCGACATGGCCGAGTAATTTGTTTCAGACTGCGTTCTCCAATTTCCAATAACCGCACAAACCCGTGTAACCGAAGACCGCACCGCACCGTTTCTACGTTTGCGTTTTATTTTTAAAACAATAACATGCGTTACTTTAACCTTTCGTTTTCTGAGAGGTATACACACGTATATACCACAGTGATGTCCGCATCAATGTTGTTAAGAAGTGTATGCCGACGAGTGTCCGAACATGGACAATGTTGTGATTTAGTTGGTGGTAGGAAAAGGTTGTAAATACTGACGAAAATTTAAATGCATTCATTTTTATTTTTATCCAGTAACAGAAATAAAAATGATTTTAATAGACTGATATTATCGTAAACACATAGTATACCGTCAATAATTACTACATACGCTAATCAATCGTCTGATAAAAAACTGAACGTCTATTGCGAAAAAAATAATGCCAAAATGAAAACCCGTAAGACTAATTACATTTCATAATCCCCCGCGAAGTGTTTGTTACTTGACAGTATGCGTAGTACACTCGTGAATATTCAAAATAATGTTGAATACATACGACGTATACAATATACACGTTTGTGAATAGGTATACGGTATTTACATATATTACAATATTTTCTTCTCCTGTACGAGTAGTAAGTTCCAAACGTTGTCGTATATATTATAAATACGCATATATACGCGTAGACGGACGAGAGAAAAAGTGCCAGTTGCGCGCGTGTGACAATGATCGAAAACTTTCGTTCGGCTTATGCAAATCAAACATCAATTTTAACTTTATCGTCTTTGGGTACAATATCTATCACATCCGCGCCACCGCGGTTTTTAGTGAGACAAATTATACCACCAGAGCCGTTCTTTCCACAGTACATTTTCTTTCGTTATTTTTTCATTCCCGTCCGGTTATCGAATTATTGTTGTTCATGATATTCACGTTTCGTTTGCCGTGAGATAAACGATATGACATTATTACTGCAGTGCATATACACGACTGTGTAGAATATTTTACTGTCGTACATGATAAATATTAATGATATAATACTTCACATAATTTGAAAACAGCATAATGGTATTAATAATAATTTTGTTCTCTTGAAAATTATGTAACATGTCGAGCAACAACTAAATATTATTAGATGTAAATACACGAAATAATATTTATAAAACGCACAATCCGTAAATACCGCCGTTTCTTGCACATGTGTTTCCGTCGTAGACAGTTAATTACGGCAAAACATATTAAATACCGTACTCCAAAACTTTTTAACAATTCATTAAATAATATTATACTTTTAATGGTTATTTGCTTAATGATTTTCTAAATGCATTTTTATAACCGATTTAAAGTGTTATCGGTAATTTATAACGATTTTTTTTTTTTTATCTCCATCAGGTACATTCCATTTCCTACAATTAATTTAAAAACGATTAATCTTATTAGTCCCTCTCCCAGTTCCCTACACAAAATATAATTTCTTTTTTGTATTACGATTTTATTTTTCGGGACAGATCAACTTTACAAAACTCATATTATTCATTCGTTGTATATGTTTTTGTAAAATGTTTCTTATTGACATATTTTCTGTTCATAACCATTATGCATTGTATCGAATTTGTTTTTTCAAAACCACCATTTATTTTAATCTTGGGAGTCTATCCAATTAAAATATAATTGCAGTTTGGTAACCATCGAATGTGTTATTTGACACATTCGACGAGGCCCCCCGAATATTTTCCCCAGAATAATAAACTGTCGATCAAACCCTGAAGCGAAAACCCAGTATTCATCCACACAGTAATTATTTTGTTTCTCGAACCATAAATATAATTTAATTGATACACAACTGTCCCAGGGGTTTAACAGTGGACAATTGTCAAGGGACGTGCAAACATTTTTGAATAGAAAATAGAAAAACAATTGTTATCGCTTCTGTGCCTGAACATCCCCTTCGAAACAAAGGTTTTTCCTCTCCCATTGATAATATATATATATAACCAAGTTCGCATGGTTACGAATGGAGCCCATCAGCCGATAAGTGGGGGTTAAATCGTTCAGAAAACGATAACTAATGATACCAAGAGGGTAACCGGCTAAAAACTTTTGTCTTTACAGTTCATTTGGTAAATTTAGAGTTTGAGGCGTATGGATTTTTGTGTACGTGTTTCCGGGGAATGAGGAAAATAATAGATAGACAGATAGTGAGAGAAAGAGAGATAGAGAAAGAAAAAAGGTTAGTAAAACAGGCGGGTGGAGCGGCCTGTGCAATTTTTCAAGGCGTAAATAACAACGGAAGGAAAAAAATAGGAAAAAAAGGTATAAGTGGCAATCTCTCGGTTCAATTGATGTGACTAGTAAAGGTGCGACGGGCTGAAAATGCGCGAGAAAACAACAAGGATGACGACGAAAAATCCGTCCCAACTTATCAAAAATGTTCAACCCATGTTATCTCGTCGGCTTCTTCCATAAATCAAACTTGGCCATTTACGATGCGATAGGAAGAGGGTTAGACGAAGGAGGAAACCAACGCGAAATCTTTTTTTTTTCATTTTTAAGGATTTCAAAGGCTCTGAGAAATACATATACAAGTAAGACGCGATTGCTTAAACATATATACACTCACATGTAAATTATAATTATCGTATTACACATTGTATTTGTCCGTTGTACATACTTTTTTTTTCATCCGACAATAGCAGCACGTATTTCTGATCACTTGACGTTTGAAATTCGTTCGCGTTCACTCGTTTCTGCACATAAATAACAAAAATATTATGTTTTGAAGTAGCGCGTAAGGCCATTAAAAAAATTTACTATGCTATATCAGCGGAAAGAAACAGTAAATTATGCAGCTACGTTGATTCGAATAAGAATTTTTTTCCCACGAGTTTGTTAAAATAAGAATGGAATAAATCAAACACTTCCAAAAAACTATAAATAAAATGTCATTTATCATAATACTACATAATAATTATATAGAACAAGATTTCATACCTATTTAATTTTTTTTTTTTGTTTTGCCTTGTTATTTTTTATATATAAGATTCGTTTACTTTGAATTTGATCAGTTGTTTTTTGTCTAAAAATGGGTTCGGATAATTAATATGTATTTTAAAATGATTAAATAATTTTTTAACATTAAATGTATTTATTTTTATTCGGATATTTCGTTTACCTACTGCCATAAATCATCGGTCTTAAATATTCAAAAACAAGTGGTTTCTAAATTGATACCGTCCACGATTTATTTTTTAGTATAGCTGTTGAGGGATAAAAATCTTGAATGAGGCAATAGTATTTTAACGAGATTGAAAAGACCGTCAGTTTTTCTAGACGTTCAACGTATAAAAGAAGCGTGATTTTATAATAATAACAAAAATAGTTTTTTTAAAGAAAAAAAAGATCACAACAACAATGTAATGAAAAAACCGTTATAAAAATCTGTTGTAAGGTTGAAAAAAAAACAATCTACACTGTCTTGTAAGATTTAAAATTGAATACAGTATCCGTATTATAACGAGAAAGTTATCACAAGAATTAGAATTTTGAGCCCCAAAAATATACAAAAAAAGCAAATTTTTATCAAAGCATTAAATTTTCTTTAAACATGGCATTAATTTATATTTAACGTTCCTCAAAAAAGAGTAGTAGGTTTGTAAAGTAATACATAAATCAATTTTAAAGCATCATTATAATTGAAAGTATTTTATGTACCAATAGTAAATTACATTTTAATTAAATCAACTAATTTACAAAAATATATTTTTAAAGCTGTGATTGAATGAAAATGCATTAATATTTCCTTTTTTGTATACTTTGCTTCTAATTAATTTTTTTAAAAATAAAAACTATAAATAATACCAATAAAACTAATAGTTCTTAATTAAATATTTTCCGCGTTCATATTTAACAAAAAGTGCTTCAAAAAACTATTTTATATGAAAACTGCATAAAAATAAATATAATATTACCTAGAACATTTTTTCACAAATAAAATTTTGTTTTATACATAAGAAGTATAAAATTTCCAGTACTAAATTGAACTGGAATGAATACGTGCATTGCAAAACTACTGTCCAGTGTAACTATATATCAGGGGCGGCCAAACGATCGATTGCGGAGATTTCAAAGTCGATCATGTTAGAATTTATTTTTAGGCCACGAGCACTTCAACAATGCCCAGATCAACAAAATAAATATTATTATGTTAATTAGACTTAAGTATTTAGATTTTAGAAATTATTTTATTATTTTTAATAATTAGTAATTCATTTGTAATACTTTATGTATTTTTATATACACTTTAAGCAAGTATGTTTCTTAATAATTATAATTATTTAATAATAAATCATTTTTCCAATAAAGTCGATCCTCAAAAGTGAAATATATTTTTAGTAGATTGTGGCCGAAAAAAAGTTTGGCCGTCTCTGCTATATATTATATATTATGAATAAAAAAAAGTAGGTCGATTCCGATTTAAGTTTAAAATATATAATTTTATTTTTATTCGTGAAATCGTGATCGGATTAAATAAAATAATAAATAATTGTCAACACGTTTGAGCCAACCATGAGCACTTATGGCCTATGATATGGACATATTGATGTAGAATCACTTGTCTTGTCGATTCAAGTGAGAGCTTACACGTATCAGGTTTCTTTCTGTGTATTGGGCATAAGTTGTCCTAGGTAATACAACTAACCACCGGTAAATTTGAAGACATGTGATATTTTAAAAATATTATTCGGCAATCATAGGTGTTCTTCATACAGTATGAAGTCGCAAGCGGGCCAAATATCAAAAAAATTTTAAATTTACGTTTTTAGTATCTCTGAATTCGTATTTTTTTTTCTTTAGAATGGTGCCATCTATGTAATTATATTTTTAAATATATATAATTATATAAATAAACTTATTACACTAAGACAGATCGAGAGGTAGCTGAAAACAATAAAGCCGTAATACGAAATGTGGCCTTTGAATTATACTTGTTAATAACAATATTATAAGAAAATGTCTAGTCTGATGTCAAAAATGTCATATTGATATTTAGCAGAAGAAAATTACAAACTTCTATAAATTATCAAACATAAGAAATGCTCTCCTGAACAATTTAATATTTTTGATATATGGCCCTCTTGCACTGATAGCGCGATTTACATATAGATAAATATATATAAATATGGACGTAAACAATATTAGCTTTCAAAAGTTGTGAAACTCAAAATTAGGGAGCCATCTAGAATAATCATCATCCAATAAAAACGGTGAGAAAAATAAGTACTAAAGAACTATAATCTCTTAATCCGTATGAAACATATTCTATCGGATATCAAACTAGGTATATAGTAACGTTTTAATAAGTGTAATGATGTGCATAATTCGATTGTAAAAGACGGCACAAATATTTTATTATGTATACTATTTATATGTACGTGATTTTTAAAACTATTTCAAATAAATAAATAACGGTATCTTCGATACCCGCGCGAACAACATGGGTCGAACAATAAATACTATTGACATCTCTACATTCAAAGGACCGCCCAAGATCCATGCCGCCGCGTGTCCCTATAAAACAGGGACACACACTACCCTTCACAGAGCTCTTGATCTTAGGTCGTCAGTGAATGCGCACCGATCATAAGATCAACGAAGAGTTTATACGTGCGATTTATTTTTGACTAATTTTAATTTTAATCCGTTTGACTTGTGTTCTTCGTACGAGTGTTGAAGAGTATCTGGTTCTCGTGCAATTAAATTCTGCATTTGTCGATTCTTTTTCAACCGCGCATTGACATCTGAAGGTCTACGGTACAGTAAGTAAGTACTACTTTATTTGGCTTGGCAGTCTGCATAATCGCGCTGATCGGCTCTCGAACCTTCTCAACCCTTAGAGCCCTCCCTTAAACAAGGAGGAAGGTAGCAACTCATTAATACCTCACCACCATTCACATAAATACCGTCTCCCCCATCTCATCTTACATCTCATCCTTACTTCTCTTATTTTATTCTTTGTATTTTTGGGTAATTACATAAGGAACCTCATTCTTTGAATGCATATTTTTAAATTTTATAAATTCATGATCATTATACTATCTATGATGATTTCCTCGTTTAATAACAAATAATTAAAGAAAAGAATTAACAATAATGTCATTAGTTCAAAAAGAATCATCTATTTTGAGATAACGTGTAAATTTTTATATCAGTTTGTATATATTTTGTATATTCACTTATATACAAACTATTATACTATTTCCATATCGAAAGTGTCAATTCATAGGCGTAATAAAACAATTTTAAGAAAAAATTCACTACGTTATTATAAAAAAATAGTAAATATTTATTTAAAGAAGTAATCATTTTGATAACAATGAATTTGAATAATTATTAATGTTTAGTTTTTTTTCTTTATTAATATTAAATTTAAAATTAATCCTCAAGACTTATAATACTATTAATTTTAAAAAATTTATTGTTGATACAATTGTAAGTAATTATAAAATACAGACTTGGATAGTATTCTGAATACAATATTCGGAATACTATTTTTTGTAAGTACTCGAGTATTTATTCTGCATATTATAAATATAAAGATAGATATTATATTATTGTTAAGATTTTCATTGTATGCATTTTATTAATTTATTTTACTATAGTTATAAGCCGATATTTCTTTTTATACATATTAAATTGAACATACATGTATTAAAAAATTAATTAATTTATGAGAATTCTGGCCTTCACACAACTATTGACTTGGAAATGATTCTTTTGGTTGTAACGATATATGTTTTATGTAAAACTGTTGTAATTGAATAAATAAAAACAAAAAGTACCGCTTAAGTAAGATATCTTAGCAATTTTCTACGATTGACTGAGTTGTTGATTTTGAATTTGAATAGATGGAGATACCGAAAATCATTACATTTATCGGTAAGTAATTATAGATAATCGGGTGCAAACTCGATTATACATATCACTTTATAACGGTATATCATAGTTATGCACACAATCAGTAACAATTAACTGCATTTCGGTCTAAACCATCTGTTTAAAACTTGTCATTTATGTTCCACATACAAATTGGCGTAATTATTATTTTCTATAAGCCTTTAAGCCAAAATGTAATCGAAAATTGAAAACGTGCGGGTTATTGGTAAACATCATCGATCCTGCAATGTGGTATCACGGAATTAGTGTTGATCTGAATTTATTTTCTTTTATTCTCGTTCATCTTCATTTCTTTTTATTTCTGTCCGTTTCATTTTCTTTCTCTTTCTCTCTCACTCTTTCCTCTCTTTATATTTCTAGATCCAAACCACGAACGTGAACTGGAATCCAAGCAATTCTAACAAAATCCTATTTCGTCGTACGAATTTCTTATTAGGTAGATGACAATAAATCAGTACTTACAAAAGAAGAACTCGTCAGGAGTACCCTGTATTTGTTGGTTTCGACATTGTAAACACTGACGCCACCTTGTGCATCTCGAATCACCATCTCCATGTCTGAAAATAAACAAATAAATGGTGATATTATTCTTTGACAGCCAACAGTTTATGACGAAGGAAAAAGGCAATTAATTTATTTTCCATTCGACGCGTGGAAAAAATAAGAAAAACAATACATATGTTCAAAAGAAGAAAGAAAAAAACGGTTCAAGACCAAATACCGTAAAATAAATAAAACATAAGAGTTTGTTGTCCTTTCGGGACTTGTTTGTACACGTAGTATTGTTTAAAGTTTGTTCGCAATTCATTTGTTCTTATACATACATACATATATACGTATATATAATATAAACTATTGATGTAGTAGTTAGATATAGTTTATCGGATACGAGTGTAATAAATATTTGAAAAATGGGTTAATTTAAAAAATATATATATCTCTGTCGTGCATTATGCAAGTGTTATATATTATATAATGTGGAAACTCACATCGAAAATCAGAGCTGATTGATTTGAAAATGATAAAAAAACAATAATACTTTTCAGATTTCGAATTTAATAATTTAAAGCACAAAATTGTATTGAACTTTTAATTTTGAGGTCGATTTGTGTTTAACTTACTGTTCAATCGTTACTTGGTAATACATTGCATTAAATTTTTTTTTATCCATACATTCCAATATAGACAATATATTGATTCCAAATACAACCGTTTGCTAAAATTTCATTTGGTAAGAATTGATTTAATATTCATTTGGATATAAATGCTCATATTTTATTATAAATAATTGAATAATCTTTATATAATCATTAAAAATATACTTGAATATCTTTCAAAATCTACGTGCTGATTCATTAAATTATTAGGTTATAAACCAACACATACAACTTATGTAATTTTAAAATTTAATTTATTTCAAGTTTTTATAATAAACTGAAATAAAATAAGTAAAAAAATAGTATTTGAACATTTATTTAAAATTAAAAATAACAATTTTATAGTGTTGTTCGTTATTTATGGTTACCATAAAAATGTTTATATATTTTCTTAAAATTATATTCAATACATTTATTAAAAATATATTTTTTTTTTGCAATAGATTTTTTTTTTTTTTTTTGTAGAAATTGTTCTACTCTCGTTAATACCTAAACTATTTTTTTAAACTAATGTTGTACATTTTTAGTAATTTATATCTGCCTTAATTTTTTAAATAAATATAAAAAAAAATATTATGAATAAAATATAAAGCAGTCAGATGTTTTATCATTAATAATAAAACAAATTTGAACAAATTAAGTTAAATTAAGTATTATATTATAAAATAAACTCTTATATGCACGGTAAAACTTGCTTTTTCATAAAAATAAAAAAAGGAATGATCATTAATTCAAATGTAGGATTTAAAACATTAAGTGACATAATAGCACATACATTTATCTTACAGAGGTTTTTTGTTTATTTATTTTTTTTTTTTTAAAGTTGTTTTTATCTAAATTCAACAATTTGATAATGTAATATATACTTAATACGATATAAATGTGCCGATAAAAAAAAATACTTGAACTTTTCATTGAAATGTATTGTTTATAATGAAAACCGATCTTATACCATGAAATTGATCAATATGTCATAAACCAGTGGTTCTCAAACTTTTTTTGTCCACGGAGGCCTTACGTTTTCAAAAAAATTTTCGAAGATCCAAAAATCAGAAATTTTTATTTAAGACAACAATAATTATTAATTTTCATATTGATAAAAACATACAGTTTAAAATTTAATTTTTTTTAAAGTTCGGATTTTGTCATTTGCTGTGAAAACTTTGGTCATTTTACGTTGTATTGATAAATTTACTTTATTTAATTTTATGATAATACCATCCAAGTTATGAAGTCGTAATAACCAAATTTTATCAGAAATCTTAGTTGTAAATAAAATTGGTGTCACTAAAACGTATAACTCGTTGTGTAATTCAAGAAATCATACCAGTGTTTTTCCTCAATAACTAAAAAAATATAATTATATTTAAATTTAGTTAATTAATATATACCCACGGAATCCCTAGACTTCTCCCGCAGAGCCCTAGAGATCCGCGGAGCACAGTTTGAGAACTACTGTCATAAACTATTGATGTGGTTCAACCCGAAATTGTGAAATAATATATTTACCTAACATGTAGTAACTGGAGACCACGGATCACTTACAAATAATGAAATAGGTAACTGTTGTTTACCGAGTATTTAATGGAATGATCAAGTGTGTCAAACTGACTATCATTTTATCTTGCCCAAATTTTAGGTATTAAATATCCAACATTAAGTAGATTATACATGTATTTACGAAACCCATACATAAAATAACCAATTACGAATTTTTTTGTTGAATTTTTATAATACTCGCTTTAACTCTTTGATAATATCGAGTGATTATAACATGGAAATATTTCTATCCCAAACTATTCATATCTCTACTCAACACGCATTAATGCATGCATATTATATATCATAAATGCATAATTAATTTACATAAGACATAAACCGTCTGATTTTTTAACAATATATAATCATTACATTACGCTTTGAACACTTATGAAACGCAAAAAATGTTTTAAATTTTAAATAATTCGTATAGATTATAAGATACCAAAAGTCAGAAATATATATTACCACAGTGTAATTCTAAACAAACATTTATTTTGAGTGGAACTTATTAAAGGCAACTGTAATAAAAAGAAAATTACTATATTATTTGCTAATACTGCAAACATAATCTCAATATTGAACTATTCATATATAAACAAATCCACATGCCCATTTGGACTTATTGCATCCAGCTATGGAGTGCAGGTAAATCATTAGACTTTAAAAAAAATACAAAGGTTCCAATCGATCACTTAATGAATAATAACTAAGATTCCTTTGAATTTTATATACATCTACCATAAAATCACTCAAATCTTCTAATTTCAGCACTTAACTTGGATTCAATAACTTCTAGATGAAGTTAAAAGAAATTATGGTGTTTTAATTTGAACTTTTAACTCTTATAAAAAAAAAAAAAATCATAAAATAATTAATTAAAAAATCAGCAAAAAAATATTGAAGTCTAGTGAGTTACTCATTTTCTCGCGAAATTCGTGTAGTTTTATCCTAAGGATAAATTATTTTTTTTTTGAAAATTAAATATTTATTAATAAAAATAAAAAGTTAAATAATAATTTTTTATCAATACTTTTGATTATAGTCGTAATGTGCTATATAAATCACGAGGAAAAATGTTGAAACTCTTAGAGACTATTTATAATTGTTTTTTTTTTTTTTTAAGTCTACTGTTGTAATAATCAACAATAGCTTGTTAATTTAAACCAAATTTTCAAAGAAACAAGTATAAAAGAAATAAAAATATGTATATAATCATTTTAATAATTATGTCTGTGTCGATAAGAATTTGAATGAAACATTTGTTACAATATGTGTAACTATACTTTTATAATTATGGAAAACCCCAATTGTTACACGTGAAAGTTGAGTTAAACTAATAAAATAATAGATATTTAATTTTTAACGGTTTTTATATTAAAAAAAAAAAAAAAAAAAAAAAATACGACAATTTAGACCAAAAAGTAAAATAAAATAAAATGAAATGTACATATTGATTGCGATTTTAACATTCTACCGATAGCCAAACTAAACTGCTCGAATAGAAATAAAACACACAAACGTGACTTGAACTTAACCTTTGGATTCAAACAAGACCACAAACAAAACCTATGCGTTAACTGCCTATTGTATTATTATGGAACACAAAGCATACGCGTAACTTATACGCCAGATACACTAAACGCGTTGTTGAGAGTATACCGAAAGTAGTGTATCGCTATAATAATGGGGCTTTGAACACGCCAAGTTTCCAATCAATACTCGACAACGTGTTGTGAAATACATCGATGCAATAGCTCGAATGTAATATGCGACATATGTTGCATACAATTAAATGGGATTTAATCAAACTGTAGGTCGATTTAGTAATTACGCGTCGTTTCTCAAACAAAGTGGTCTTCATACGAATTTTATGCCAAATTTACTGTGCAAGTATATGTTTATCGAACTGAAGTGGTATTCTTCAACCTTGGTTTAACGAACGATTTAACGGTCTACTAGAGATTATTTTTATGATGCAGTGGAATTTAATATTATTTTTTTGAGAAACGCAAAAAAACCATTTCAGTATAGTACCCGAATATGTATACAAGCAGACATCAATGGGTACTTTATTTTGAATGCCTGCAAAACACACCATATTTAATGGAATTGTTCTCGAACTCTAAACATTTTAATATTGTAGACACAAAGGGTTTTACACATAGAAACTCGCGTAAAAACTTTTTAAAGTATTATATGATATGTAGTATACGTAGGAATATCGTATTTATTATTTATCCATTCGAATAGAAATTGAAATAATATATTCGAATGTGACCGGATTTAATAGTTTTAAAATTAAGATTATTCAAAAAATCAGAAATTGGTCCTACCTTATAGAATCTAAAATAAATCATCAATACAAATGTACCATCCTCGCTTAAAGTTATTTATATTCACTGTTTGGAACGAATAGATTAATATTAAAAGCAGAGATGGGTAATTTAATTCAATTCAATTCGTATGGTTTATACGAAAAAATGAAATGATTAAAAAAAACTATAAAACGTCAACGTGGTGTACAAAAAGTAAATACGTTAAAATCATAAATAGTGATATCTGATTAAAATAGAATCCTTGACGTTGGCTATAAAAATTACATTCTTATAATGCAACCCATACTTATATTTTAAAGAATATTTTAAATAATTTTATGTTTCTACGGTTTCTCAATTTAATTGTGTACGACTTCATGAAGTGTATGCATATGTATTGAATACATTATAAGAATTATATAATGACATCAATGTTTGGTTATTTTGTTCTTCACGTGCATCGATCAGAGATTTTTTTTTTTTTAATGTGGATTATATGTGTACATTATTACTTAGTAATAATTGTTGGAATCTTAAATCATT